ATTTTATTCATTTATATCATATTTCACTGATAACCTGATAACCTATGTAGTTCCTTGTATGAGTAAAATATTTTTCTGCAAAGCTTGGTAATCGTGAAAAGAATTATCAAGCAATCTTCCTCTTGTTCTCGGTGCACTACGTGGTGCAGTGCGTTTGTGGTGTAGTGTCCTTTTCGTAGTTCCTCTCCAGGTACGTAGTCATAATCCTTCCAATAATCCTAAACCTTAAACCCTTCCCATACTTCCAATAATCCTTTTAATATCTAAGCCTATAATCCTTGCATGAGCCGTAAAACGCAGTAAAATAAAAACGAAACGTAAAAGGAACACTGCCTCTGGACGGATGACATCCTTCAACGGATGTCAACATCCTTCAACGGATGTCAACATCCGTTTAAGGCGAAACGGATGTCGACATCCGTTTTGCCTTAAACGGATGTTGACATCCGTTGAAAGATGTCATCCGTCCAGGAGTATTGTTCCCTACACCAAGTTTAAAATATTAATCCTTAAACGGATCTCCACATCCGTTAACGGATCTCAACATCCGTTAACGGATTTCAATGGAGGTAAATTTATTATAGAAAGAGTGCACCAGACACTAGTCACGGGACCACGGCCTCTTATTACAACCCCTCACCCATGTGCTTCTCTGCTCATTAATTTTATTCTTCCCGCTAATTAGTCTACCTACGTAGTTTGGCCATGAAATAAATTAAGCTCCAACATTATGGAACCTCGTGAAGCCAATTTCTTGTTTGTTTCAAATTTTTTTTCGCAAGCTTGGAAGAAAACACCTGCAAGATTGAGACTTGTACTTATTTCTTGTACTCCAAAAATTATTTACCCCATTTTCTAGTTGACAGCAACTCCAATTGTGTCACACTAACTTGTATTTTATTTACAGTAATTTATATTTAAATTTATAATTTTAAATGTTATATATGATTAGTTTTTAAACGTTGATGAGGCTTGACGGAAGAGAAAATGATAAACGGTGAAGAAGAAGCTTGACGGAAGAGAGAAAAATAAAATAAAATATTAAAATAATAAAAATAAAAAATTTTAACTTTTGAGGATATAATTGTCATTTTAGAAGGATATAATTGGCATTTTAGAAAATTGGGGAGGTGGAGGAAGAGATGTGTGGGGGTGGAGGGAGCAACACCCATCTCAGAATGATACATTATTCAACCGCAAAATGCAAAAACAAAATATTTTTGACATTTTTTTTTAAAAAAAGAAGTAGACTCGAGAGAAAACCACGAAGGCCATTGGGCCTAATGGGCTCGAGCACTATTCTTTCTTCTCTTTTTTTTTTCAAATTCTTTTTTAATTTTAGATTTATTCAAAATGTAGAAGAAGAAGGAATAAAATCAAACAAAATGGTATGATGTGAAAATTATGAACATGTCAAAATAATTTTTCATTCAAATTTATATTTCAGAAGAATTGGGTTCAAAGACGACCAACATGGAAATGAGGCCCAATGAACCTGAAAAATGTCCTTTATCATGCGAATGAAAAACAATTTTGAATACTTCAAATTTTTCATCACTCCACTTATTTTTACTATTATTATTTTTTGAAACATTTTCTATTTATCTATTTTTTATATTTTTTTATTTTTTTATTTTTTTTTTTGTTGAAATCGGGTGATCCAAACAATCTTGTATTGGGCCGGATTGACCCAACAAAACCCTACCCGTTTCAGTTTTTCCATTTTTCAATTTTTTTTTAATTTTGAATTCTGAAACACCGGGACTGTGGATGCCTCCGGTAGCAATAACCGGAACTGTGGACACAGTGAGATTTGAGTCTTAAGACGAGCGAAGGAACGCGTTGAACGTCATTTGCAACGTTTCGACCTAAGTTAGAGAGAGAAGTAGAGAGAGAGGAGTGAGAGAGAGTCTTCCTCTGAGTGAGAGAGAGTCTTCCTCTGAGTGAGAGAGAGTCTTCCTCTGAGTGAGAGAGAGTGGGTTCTGAGATTGAGAACTGAGAGAGATCTGAGTGCGACGCAAGTGAGATCGGAGCACCTAAGAGCGTGATCGGAGAGCCTAAGAGCGAGATCGGAGAGCCTTCCGGCCGAAGCTTCAACTTTCATGTTCTGGGCTTCGCACCGTCTCGGGTAAGTACTTCTTCTCCGATCCTTTCCTTTTCTTTTACTCAACTTCTCCTTCTTCTTCTTCTTCTTGCTTTTCTTCTTTCTTTATGTGCTTTCTGATTCCATTTACTCATAATCTTCTTTTCTGCACTTTAATTTCTCGCACCTTATGGTCTGCTCTTTTATTTCCTGCAAATTATCTTCTTCATTTTTCGCTCTTTACTTTTCTGCATTTTATTTCTCCTTTAATTTTTGCTCTCTGTTCTTTACTTTCGGCTCATTTCTTTACTTCAAACTCTCTATTTGCTTTCCTCTTCTTCTTCTATTTTTCTTTTTTATTAACTTAAACAAACAAGAACACACTTGTCTTAAACTAAGGGGTATATAGGCTGGAAACCAGACGTTAATCTCCCTTCGTTTGAAGGTATGGCAGAGACAATCGGGTAGAACAATGCCACGTACCCCACTAAAATAAGAAAAGTTAAAAAACTTTTATTCTGTATGAACAAATATGGACAAGGACATTTTGGACGTAGATCCGTTTAGGACCCCTTGCAAGGACCGTGAAACAGACCACTTCTGGACAATAAAAATTTGAAAGATAAAAAGAAAACTTGACTCAAATTGGAATATTTGTAATAAGTCTTTTTACTTTTATTTTACTTTATGAACAACAACTTAGAGAATGGATAACGAAGGCAAGACAATTCATAAACGATGGTGGTCCACTCCGGAACAAGTCAGCATCTTGTTGAACATCTTCAATCATGGGATCATCAATCCCAGTCGAGATCAGATTCGCGAGATCACAGGACGACTCAAGGAGTACGGGGATGTTGGAGAATACAGCGTCTACTGTTGGTTTCAAAACCATGGAAATCGATTGAAGCAACGAGGCTGGCCCAAAGGCGTCTCTAGTACATCAGAAGCTTCATATTCCCTCCTTCCGTCGTTTATGTACGGTAAGCCTTCTTTCCCTTCCTCTTCTTCTTTTTTTATTTTTCGTTATTTATTTTTTATTTTATTTTTCTTTGACCACTATCATTTTGCACTACCACATACCCTTCGTGGGTAATTCCACCAACTCCAAAGCTCCTGAATCTCTTTCCTATTCCCCTTGTAATCGACGAAGAAAAAGAGATTCCTCAGCCTCCGCCTTTGACGTTCCGAACCACAGCTCCTTCAACGGAGCTCTCCCTTAGACCACCACAACCAGTTCAGGAGTTCTATTTTATTAATTAATTAATTTTTTTTATGTTTTTTATGTTTTTGTTGGCCGTGCATGGCCAAAAAAATGAAACCTGGACTGTATTATGAACACTATGTTTATTTTTATGTTTTTGTTTTTTTTTTTATGTTTTTGACGGCCAGTAGCCGAACTTGAACGAACTCCGTAATATGTACTTTTGATGCTTCACTTATTATCTGTTTTTTTTATTTTTGTTGTTTGAGATTTAACAAGTTTTGTGCAGGTTGCCACTACCGAACTCGAGAGTGTTGGCAGAAGACAATAACCTGAGAAATCTACAAACGTTTTGTAAATTTTTATTTTTTTTTGTAATTTTTGGTTTTCTGTTTCGGCCACCTGAAGGCCTTTATCTGTAATAAACTGAACACTGCAAAATTAAATGTATTTTTTTTATTTCATGTACATGTTCACAAATTCACATGACTTATTTTACATATATCTTCGCAATCTGGCTTCATGGAAATCTTCTCAAATTTTCGCTTTCTTTTTTTTTTACTTGGTCCGAAAGGAAAACACTTAAGTTATCACAAAATTTGAAACAACATCTGAATAATCATATACAAAATTGTTCAAGATTTTAAGAATGATCCAACACTTTTGAGGTAAACAGACATGAACACGAATTTGCCCCAATCTGGACAAACTTATACGCCCAGAGACTAAAAATTGACCAATTTGAACTCGTCTTAAGACAAAGACACGAACATGTACCCCAAATATCAAAGAGTTGATGAACTTTAAGACAAAAACACACGTTTGACATGATCTGAAATGGGTGAAAAATTGGAAATTGGATTGACTCTTAATGACCATTAAAACAAACGACACATGTTAATAGGAGACAAAAACGGGTTTAGACAGACAAAGATTAATAACAACAAAATGAGACTTGTTAATGAATGAAGGTTTAAAATTGGACATTGATGGATTAAAACACGAGCTTGATGGAAAACACAATGTGGACACGATGTAGGCTTATGCACGGATGATGGGCCAAACACGACGTAGTTCAGGTTAAGACACGGGGGTTTAGGCTCACTATAGATTACGGTTTAGGTTAAGACACACTAGGCTTAGACTCACGGTAGATCACAATTTGGGTTAAGACGTGGAAGTTTTAGGCTCAGACTGGATCAAGGTTTGGGCTTTCCTGGGTCAAACTAGGTTTAAAAAGAAGAAAACACGGAGAAGGGAAAGAAACATGACACATACAATCACTAGTACAACAAGAGGAAATGACACCGGTTGCTTTTGCTTATAGACACCGGTTCTACAACCGAGGCATATACAGACGAGGTAAAAAAGGTAGGTTTTATGCCTCGGTTATGAACCGAGTCAAAAAGAATAGGATTATGTCTCGGTTTTGTAGGTAACCGAGGTAGTAACTTTTTTTTTTTTTTCAATCTGGCCAACAGCCCCTCTAGCGTCCCTCTCCATGATGGCCTCACATTTCTTACCAATCCAAACATATATTGTTGAAGGAATGTGCACAATAAACACACCTTTGGAGTCCAATGCAGCTGACGAAGGATCCATCAACATTTTGGGAACAAGATGTAAAGGATTATACGGGAAGTGTGGAGAATTCTTGTAAATCCTTAGCAAAGAGCTAGGACTAAGAGGGAACGCGTGGACCCTTTTTTGACACTACAACAACTGACAAGTGAACCCCATATTCGGATCAGCAATCCCTCTTGTAGCCTTCACAAACTGAAATGCATCATGAAAACTTTGTCCCTCCCTCCACATAAGGTAAGCAATCACCAAAGATGTAGACCGAGACACCCCTTGACAACAGTGCACAAACACCCTCCCACCTTGTTCCCTAAAGTCCTCCAAGTAGTCAAACACATCATAGAAGATACTAGTAATGTCCTCAGAGGGACTATCCTGCAGCCACAAAGTCCTGTACACAAAATCAACCTTAAATTATACAGGACACACAAACCCCACACAATTCAACACATGAGTGAAACCATTATGGAAGACAAATCAAGTTTCAACCTTTCACCATTGCTACCATTACCTCTCCCTCCCGGGGTGGTGGCCGAGCGATAGACAGCGGTTGCAGCGGTGGCAAGCAAGAGCGCGCCTTACAATTCTGCTGCGACCGAGGTGTAAGTGGCGGTGGAGGGAATCGCCGGTTCTCTCTGTGAGGACCTTCTACGCTGCCAGAATCCGCAAAACCCTTACCCAGTTCTCTCTGTGAGGACCTTCGGCAGTCCGGGAAGATGACCACGACGCCACCGCCAGAACATTTTTCGGGAGGCGGAGAGGTGACCCGCGTCGTCATTCTCTACCATGCCCACTTCGTAGAGAATAAAAAAAATCGAATTTTGTGCAAAACCCACGAAAGATTGGAAGAGCCCTAGGGTTACTATTTGAGCAAAGAGAGATGAACCCACGAGGAGGAAAAGAGAGAGTGACGCAACGAAAGCTCGTCTGAGTCTTGAAGTGAAAAAAGTGAAAAAGGGCGAGGCTTGGCGGCGAGGCAGTGACGCTGTTGCGGGAGGCAGCGACACTGTTGCAGGAGGCAGTGACGCTGTTGCGGGAATGGGAGGCTTCTTCTTGCGCGAGAACACCAGAGGCGTGGTGGCGACTGAACGGCATAGTAGTGGTGACGGTGACGACCCTGTTTCGAAAGGGTTGGAGAACACAATGAGAGACAAGAGTTTGTGCGAGAAGAGAAATGGAAAGTTTTGGAAGATTTAGTGCTAATATGAGACTATGCTTCCTCGGTTCAAAGAATAACCGATGCCTATACTATAAAAAATAATAAAAAAAATTAAAAATACAGAGGCAATTTTGAATTTCTAGGACTCGGTTGACGCCAACCCGAGGAGATAGCCTGATCTTTCTGCCTCGGTTCTGCAGATGCCCGAGGCAATATCTCTGTCAATCTGAATTTCAGCTTGTTTGCAGGGTGGCAGGAGGATATGCGGTATACGTTATGCTTCGGTTTCTGAGCCAACCGAGGTAGTAGACGTATTCCGCTTCGGGTGCTTTAAAACCGAGACATATAACTTCTCTTAAACTACGAAAATGCCATTGCACTTTTATACGCTTCGGTTCCAGTAAAACCGAAGCGTATATAGCGCGTTAAAAAGATGTTTTTTTACTAGTGAATGGGTGACAAAGGGACACGGGGTACAAACTGAGAGCAAAAAAAATGCCCCTGACACGATGTACAAACTATAAATTTGATAGACTCTTGAAAGGTGATGATCATTGAGAAAACAATCCAAAAATGGCCCGCAAGCAAATCTATTAACACCAATTTATTGAAAACACACATTTTTTTTTTATTTTTCATCAGGGCAACTTATTACACATTTAAAAATTTTCCTCTGTGTTAAAAACGTTAGAGAACTAACAACCAATCTTTAATTTGTGCAAACTTTATTGAACTTTGTGAAACGACTGAAGTACTAAAATGGTTCAGAGTAATTCGAAAGATTTTTTTTATTTTTATTTTTGACCAAAACTGGATTATAAAAGATATAGTTTTCACAAGCCAAGGAACATATTTTCAATCATTTCAAATTATCATCATTTATTTTCCAGGTGGTTTAATGAAAAACAAAATCGAGATGTGACTAATTTTTACAAATTACCTTAAGAAAACTTGAACATTTTTTTTACCTTTTTTTTTTAATAAAATGAGTACCAAAAGATGATACATTTTTATGAAACACGTTCGCACATATACATAAATCATGGTTGTTTTATTTCTAAACGTCTTAACTTTCAAGAAAAATTTACAAAACATTGCCCCTATTTTATTAATTTTTTTTACTTTTGTGAGAACTGTTTGCGATCATTTACGAATAAAGCCCCTTATACAATGATTTTTCTTTTACGAACGAAAATGGGCGATGGATCAGTGGTCAGACGATGATCTTGAACATTTTCATATCATGAAATTCGGATAAACATCTCAAATCAATGATAAAAAATGTCTTTTTTATTGAACTGAGTGGTTGGACCAAACTTTTGAAAATCTTTTTTTTTTTTTTTTGAGAATTATTCCATGAACTTGATAACAAGATAAATGCGAAACAAATACATATGAATTAGAACATGTACATATTTTATTGCTCTCATTTTTTTTACAATACAATACATTTATTTGCCCTATACAAAGGCACGATAAAATACAAATGATAAAATACAAATGATAAAACGATCTCCCTTTTGTGTCTTAATCGAAGGATGAGTACTTAAAGTTCTAAGACCAACATACATGCGCTCACCAGGATGGTTTCCTAATACTTAAATCAAGGTCACCAGAGCTATGGCTCTTTTCACTGCATCATCACAACAGTCGAGTAATCAACTAGGTGTGAAAATACAAATGAGAGAACAGACTCTGGCTGGAGTTCTCGCGATAGCCAAACAGGAAGTACATCCCAGAGTGACACCACTGCACAACTCCTCTAATTCTAAGTTACGCTCAGACCCGGGTATAGGGCCCCACTCATGATATGTACAATGAGTACGTGTGTGAAGGGAGAGTACAATACACGACAAATCACAACATCAGAACAACTTAAACAGTGAATAACAAAAACCACACCCAAAGATACAAAAACAAATAACATCATACACGCACAGATAATTTTTACAAGTTACAAGAACACATGTTTCTCCTTTTATGCCTTAACAGAGGTTGAAATATTTACAGTTTTAAGGCCACATATATGCTCTCACAAGGATGGCTCCCTAATACCTAAATCAAGGCCACCAGAGCTATGGCTCCTTTCACAGCATCTTCACAACAGTCGAGTAATCAACTAGGTGTGAAAATACAAATGAAGAGAACAGACTCTGGGTGGAGTTCTCACGATAGCCAAACAGGAAGTACATCCCAGAGTGACACCGCTACACAACTCCTCTATTTCTAAGTTGCGCTCAGACCCGGGTATAGGGTCCCACTCATGATATGCATAATATGTGTGGAAGAAGAAATACAATGATACTCAATACATACAACAAATATTCACATGCGACAAGTAAAAATAAAATAAAAGCAAGCATACAATTAAACATCACAAGACATGATAACACACATACTAAACAGGAAAAGGGGAAAATAAACAAATGGAAAACCACATCAATTTGCACAGTTAATTAAATGGCTAGACTCTCTAGCTTCCCAAGTGGAGTCGCCATCTGTCGCAACCGGAATCGCGACGGGACTCTCTCCATAGGAAAATAATCTGTTTGAAAATCATTTGGAGTCGCCACCGTAGTTTATTCTGGAAAACTACAAAAAAATCATAAAAGTAAGACATGGTCTGCAAAATCAGATATTTGAACTCGGGAGTCGGTTACGTGTAGGGAAGGTATTAGCACCCTACAACGCCTGTCCGAAAACAGTACCTTTAACTAAACGTGCAAAGTGGATGTGGTTTTCAAAATGGTTATTTTCCCCGAAAATAACAGTACAAGACACACACAGATGAAACAAAATGTTTTTTGGTTTTAGGGAGCCCGACAAGGATGAACCTTGCTCCTACGTATTCTCATTCATCATGAGAAATCAGGGTTACGTAGTTCTTCTTGCAACTCTACTTGAATTGTTCTTGGAAATCTTCTTGGAAATTGATTTTGACTTGATTTGGATGTTAAGGGAAAATTTGGATTTTGAGGGAATGAACCTGACAAGGCATTGCCTGTCAGAGCGGCTGCAGCGGATGGGTTAGCGTGGAACAACAAACCAAGAGGGTGGGTGAATTGGTTCTTACTAAAAACTTGTTCCTTAAAAATTTCTACTCAATTAAACTTACTTATCAATTAATAATAACATTTAAATAGAGTAAGGTTGAGAGAAATTTGCACAGATGATTTTATCCTGGTTCGGATCTTACCAATCCTACGTCCAGTCGCTTATCTCAAAACAAGATAAACAATTCACTAATCACAAAACAATTACAAACTACAATCACACAGATACAATTTGTAAAAGTTTAGAAAACACCTCTCTTGATGCCACAAGAGATGAACCAACACCTCCTTTGAATCTTCACAAAGGATGAAACACTTCCTCCGAATACTTCACGAAGGATGATCTGCTACCATAAAAGCTACATTCAGTACAAAAATTTAAACTAATTTCTTCTAGCTAAGTTTTACCCCCCCCCCTTTTGATATGTCCGCCATGAATGTTGTCCAATGATAATCCCTGGTTGTTGCCATATTTTGTTTGATCTTCATCACTTGAGAGTTATCCATTTTATCTTCTCATTTGTTGTCTTTTCAAGTCTTCATTTTCACCTGCATCTGATTCGTCTGACTCAAGAGGTTTTGCCTCAAGGTCCACAATTTCATCAAAGACAACATGCACAGATTCTTCTATTTCAAATGTTTTTTTTCCTTTTCCCCC